CATAAATACCCCACAAAGCAAGTATTATAAATTAACTTATTCACTCAATAAATCTGACGGTTTCCTATACACTAAGCACCATATCTGGTAATTAATATGCATGAAGAATCTAATCCTTACTATTCTATAAACCTTAATACAGCCAAGAGCATGTAATGCTGTTATAAACCTCAAAAATAAAAACTCTAAAGCCAACCTTAAGCCTGTCATGTCTTATTTCTAGTAACAGATCTTACTGACACCTTCAGACAGTGTCTTGTGGCGTCTTCTTAGTCACTTATTTAAAATGTATAATGCAGCAACTAGATGTTAAAGGAGTACCAACAATTCATTGACAATTTTAGATGAGAAAGCCATTTTGTAGTCAGAATTATTTTAACAAAGGCTTTGTTACATAACTGAAAATGTCAATTTCACCAGCTACATCTCAAAATCAATGCTTTTCTCTCTGTATTAATTCATCAAGTATACACCACCATACAAGCAGTCTTACTTTTTAGACCAACACATGTTGGAGACTGGCTAAGAATTCCTATTTGGAAAATCCTCACTGTCTGTGTTGTCCAGAGAGTTTATTCCTGCATGGATTGTTACTCAGCATCTGTCAACAGCCTGAATGAGACAACTGACATTTGAGGGACACCACCTGAAAGACAAATTAATGAATCAAACCACTGGAACAGTGCACACCTGTATTACTCAAGCTTTTCTATTATGCCTGAGGCTTTTAACCAGTTTCTCTAAAATGGCATGTGAAAAAAAGGTTCCTGTATCGTTGGTAAAATGTAAAACATTTTCTCCACAGATTGCTAATGTTATTTAATATAAGAATCCAAAAGATTGATTATTCTTCATACAAGAGAAAAATCTGCTTCTCCTAATTGGTATGCTTCCTTTCATTAATCAACATGAATTACATGCAGGCACTCAATTATCCTTGTCCTAATCATTGATCTAATTCTCTGCCTCCACATTCCATTACCAACCTTTATCATTATTTTCATAGTACTCTAATACTTTCCTATTATAAGATCATGTCAAATCCTTTCACAGAGTAGACATCATAAACTATTAAGTAAATGTACAATACTAGAGTCTTAGTAGAAGTTTGGAAGAACTGAAAACCAGCCTTTATCATGCAAATAATTTTGGTAAACATCAAAGAATAAGAAAGTAAGGACTAAAGGGTCCAAGCCCCACAGGATAAGGAGGTAGAATACCAAGAAAATAATGCTGCCTCAGATAACTACAGTCATTTGGCAAGTCATAAATTGCAAAGAAACCTGAATAAGAGCTCGTATAATACATATCCATTGGGCTTTCAGGATGAGCTAAGCTCTTAAATGTCCAAAAGGCACAGCAAAAGGCAAACAAAATAAATCACTTGGCTCCAACTTTCTCTTTATACAAATTAAACAAAGACCTCACCAATATCTTCCTCTGGTATTCAATAAAGCACATCACTCCATGTTTGATCAGTTTTTCAAATACCTACTTGCCAGACAATATGATAGGAACCAAGATCATAAAAATGAGTAAATCCTGAGCTTCAAAGAGATTGCAGTTACAGATTTTGCTGACACAGAGGATTTGTTTGTAGGAAATTATCACTGTTTGGAAGAACCCTGAGAAAACTCATACTGCAATAAATTCTGAGTCTAGTCTAGTGTTTTCACGATCCAGAAACAATGTGACAACTTTTAGGTATATATGTAAAAGAAGGGAAAGCATGGACTCCAATGAATTATTTGTACACCTATGTTCACAACACCATTAGTCACAGTAGCCAAAAGATGTAAGCAACCCAAGGGGCCATGGACAGATGAATGGAAAAACAAAATGCGGTACATTCATACAACGAAATACCATTCAGCCTTTCCAAGGAAGAGAATTTCGACATCTACATCATAGATGAACCGTAGAGACACTATGCTGGGTGAAATAAGCCAGACACAAAAGAATAAATACTGTACGATTGCACTTATTGGAGGTTTCTTGAGTAGTCAGAGACAGGAAGTAGAATGGTGGTTCCCTGGCACTGAAGATAGGATGGAATTAGTAGTGTTAATGAGTACAGTTTGAGTTGAGAAAGATGAAAAAGTAAGGAGATGGATATTGGTAATAAATAAAAACAATGTGAATGTACTGTATGCCACCTAGTTGTACACTTAAAATGGTTCAACGTTATGTTATGCGTATTTTATCATGCCAAAAAAAAAAAAGCTATCTGAAACATTCAGATAACCATTCATTCACCTGAACATTTCAGGTTAGACACAACTTCATTCATTCCCTAAGTCTTGACTGAGGACTCACTACATGTGATCCAGAACTCCCCCTGAAATCCATTTGGAACAGCAATGCAATGCAAAGAGTATGCCTGCAAGGATTCTGAAACTGAACCATGATTGGATCTCAGCCTCTGCGACTTTGAGATTCCTAACTCAGAGTAATAATCACTGATTCTTAAGTTTCCTTGCCTGTAAAATCAGTACAATATTGAGTTGATCGCAGGGTCACAGTGAGGATTAAAAGAGAATGTATGTAGAAGAACCTGAAACATCTTGGCATACAACAAGAAGGCACTTAATAACATGTTGCCCTAATCTCCTTTGCCATGAGCAAGTGGAAACGTGACCATGACATGGTAGGCTCACAAGAGAGAGAATGTCTACAAAATTTATCTACTTTCTCAAATGAAACAAGCGCCTCACATGTCAGATAGTGGTGGAGGATAAAACATGCCAAAGCCATAAAAGTCATCCTCTCTAGAAGGTAGCACTGCAAGTACTGTACAACCCACTATATGATGCCACAAATCACTGTCAAATAAGAATCATGAGCCACATCAAAAGAAAATGTCTTCAAAACCAAGACAATAAAGCTCAATAAGAGCCAAAACGACCCAGTTACACAACTCACACACTGAGCCAGAGGCAAAATACAGCAGTTAATGCTTACCCGTCGAAAATGGGATGGAGCACGAAAAGTAAAGCAGGCCCTTACTATAAAGAACAATAGGAAAATGTCTTTTCTCCCCAAATTAAAACGAACTCGTCTTTTCTTAAAAGAGCATTTTGGTGCCATGAGTAAACCTATAAACCTGTTACCATGATCAATGTTTATAGCGCCCATGTTAAAATTTTTAGTTTATTAATCTATTGAGTTTTAAGGAATATGCCCTAAAATGAAGCTTTGAAATCACTGTATCTGTATGCGTATGTACACAGCACATATTCCATATGATATACACGTCTCACAGGTAGTTTTAAAGAAGACTTTGCAAAATAAACCGGCTATTCCCGAACCTAATTCCCAAAGATATCAGTAATATCCAAACTTACTATTCTCTAGGACCTGGCTTATCCCAAATCCATCTTTTAATAAACGTAGTTTTTTGGTTAGGATACATATTTTTATTTAGAAAACTTAACGTTTACACCAATACATTTTCAATATAGCTAACCTGTTCTAAAAGCACATTTTTAACACTATTTTCCGAGTTACTTAACTCCTAACCTGAGGCCTTTTCCACTGACTGAAAACAGGCACCATGAAAAACACCTGACCATCAGGACTACAAAGATTCCTACTATTCGAAGACAGAAGCACAGACGCCCAAGTGATCCTCTTTCATCAAATGAAATGTTTTTAAAACCTCAAAGTCCTAAGAACACTTGGACTTATCCTGTAGATCAGAAAGGTGTCCCTTTAACCACAACTCTCTCCACAAAAGCACTGAGTGAATTCTGCAGACCAAGGACTCCTCTCCACGTTTTCGCCGATCTTCAGGATCCTAAGGCTACACTCAGGGGTCTGCCAGCTCTGACCCCCAGGCAGAGCCATCAGGGCAACTCAGCTTTTCTGGACCATCTACATAAATCTGATGTGCCAACTTAAAACATACAGTGATTTCCCCGAAATCAAAAACCCTGAAGAAAGACTCCTCCTCGGGGTCTAGGCACAAAAACATCTGAGGGGAGGGGCGAAAGAATGGCCTCGACCCCGGTCTCCGGGCCCCGATCGGGTCCCCTGCGGGTAATCACACCGGACCCTCCGGGGGGCACCCAGAGCCAGGCTGCGTTCCCTGCGGGCACGGCGCAGCGGCCCGGTCAGAGAAGGGCCCGAGGGTGCTCCGGGGGGCCAGGCGCGCGTCTCCACCTCCGCCGCGCCCGTGCCACTTTCGCGCGTGACGGGACCTGTCAAGAGCCCCCAGGCCTCGCCAGACAAGGGAGTGGGCAGGCGCTGGCGTCCCCCGCCACGCTAAGGCGGCCCGGAGAGTCTCCCAGGGCTGCCTCGCGGGGAGGCGCCGGGGTCGGGGCCCGAGAGCAGAGCCGCGGCGGGCAGACGCCGGGCCCACAGGCCGCGCCGCGCGGGAGGACGAGGCAGGAGAGGCCGCGCCCTCCGCCAGCGCCCGCCAGGCCCGGACGCGCGGCTGGGGCCCAGGGCAGGCACGCGGGCCTCGGCGCGGAGGCGGGAGCGCGGCCAGACTAGCAGCTCCCCGCCCCGGACACAAAGCTGCTCCGCGGGAGCCCGCCTCACCTGCAGCACGGGGCGCCGCGGGCCTTCGAGAACCATCGGACCCCGCTCCGGCGCGCGCGTCACAGCCCAGGCCTCCCGGAGCCGCCCGGCGCCGCCGCCCCCGCCGCCATTTCCTCGCGCTCGCCGTCGCCTCGTCCCCGCTGTCAGGTTACTCCATTCACCTGGGCCTGCAGCAGCCCGCGCCGCGCCTCCGCCTCGACCCCTCCCGCCGGCGCCTGCGGAGACTGCGCAGCGCCCGGCTGGCCCGCAGCCCGCGCACGGCCCGCGGCAACGGCGCACAGCCGCTTGGAGAATCCCACCGGCGCCCGCACCGCCCCTCCGTGCACCCACGCTCCGCTCACCCTGTGGCGGCATGAGAGCGAGCCTGTGATTGGACAGAGCACGGCGGTGAAAGGTTAATCGCGGCCCTCCAGCCACTCAGGAGCAGGGAGACAGCGGGCGCGCTCGCGGAGGCGGAGGCGGTGTTTGCGGCCCAGCGCGGTGACCGGACCCTGCAGTTCTTGCCGCCGCGGCTGGGAGTCTTTGCTGCCCTCGGGCACCCGCGCGCCGAGGCTGTGGTGCTAGCTAAACTTGGCGGACGCTCCGGGCTCTTGGAATTCGACTGCCTCCATTGTTGCTCCTTCTGACACTCACAGACCGTAACGTGGCCGTAGTTGTGCCCCGGAGAGGTTAGCTGCCCTCTGACCACCTCCCTCCCGTCTTTAAAGGACCGTCCCACTCCCTTGCGCTCCCCCTCCTTAGCGGTTCAGGAGCCTCCGCATTTGGTGAAATGACAAACACCCGCTTCCGCTCCCACCCAAACTGGGATCCCCAGATGATGAGAAATAGACGGTGGCCCTGTGTAGGTACACTGTCCATTTGCATAGGTCAGAACTGTCCACCACATCTTCTAATAAGAATTATAAAATATCGGTGGGAGTTAAATAAGCCGCTGGCTTAAAGAACATCGTCTTAATTTATGCCCAAATGGAGACATCTCTTCAGTGGACTCCCTGATGGGTAGGTTCGCTCCAGGTAGGTGTGGTGGGCTTGAGCCCTTGGGCGTGAGCGGAACCTAGTGTGCGCCCGCGCTGCCTGGGCTGCACTGTTCAGTTTGGAGCCACCAGCCCCACGTGGCTCCTGAGCGCTTAGAGTATAGCTAGTCCGAATCGAGGTGTATGTGTTCTTTACCATATCACGTTCAGCATCTCATTAATTATTGTATTGTTACATGTTGAAGTGATCAACATTTTTTGATATATTGCGATAAAAGTTTCATTTTACTTTTTGTATTTTTTTTAGTGTGGGTTCCACGAAATTGTAAATGCCACCTGTGGCCTGCATTATATTGCCATTGGGCAGGCTGACCTAGGGCTTGCATGCCTGTGATCCTTATGTGCACCCTGTAAGGTAGGTGCTGTAACTTCGTGCACATTGTGAGGCAGGGGCTGTAACTGCTTCTTTTTTTTTTTGAAATGGAGTCTCGCTCTGTCGCCAGGCTGGAGTGCAGTGGTGCCATATGCAATCTCCATCTCCTGTGTTCCAGCGATTCTCCTGCCTCAGCTTCCAGAGTAGCTAAAATAGCAGGCGTGCACCACCACACCCAGCTAATTTTTGTATTTTCAGTAGAAGTGGGGTTTCACCATATTGATCAAGCTGGTCTCGGTCTCCTGACCTCGTGATCTGCCCACCTCAGCCTCCCCAGAGTGCTGGGATTACAGGCGTGAGCCATCGCGCCCAGCCTGCTTCCTGTTTTAACAGACGAAGAAAGGCATAACTTCCAGCCAAGTAAGTAACCAGTAAGTGAACAACTGAGATTGGAACCCGGGTAGTCCGGCTTTGAGGCTGGTGTGCTCAAGTATTACTACGCTAAAATTTTGATAATATGTTTACTATGAATTGGCTTGAAGTTTGACCTGAAGTAGCATATTCATGGGCAAAATTAGGGAGTAGTCAGGATTCTCCTGGCAGACCGACGTATCAAAAAAATAGTTTCTTATATATCAAGCACTGTGAGCATGTCATACCATAAGTCCCCAGTCATACATATAAGGCTTTCCGGAGATAATCCTCTATGAGAAGGACAGCATCTCACTGTGGGGGCAGGCACTGGGCTGTACCAGCAGTGGAAATTTGTGGGCTGGTACAACTCCAGCCCTCTGGTTGTCCTCTCACAATATGTCAAGACTGGTCAGACTTCTCCATCAGCAGGTCTATCTGATTTTTTTTTATCAGTTTCAGTTCTTATTTTTAAAATAGGTAGTACATCCATATTGTTCATTTGTCAGAAATTCTATGGGACACACAGTGGAAAAAGATCTCCCTCACACCTGCCCTCTGTCATAAATAGGTGACCACTGTTTCCTGCTCATTCTTCAAAATGCTTATGTATATAAGAATCACTCCTTGTGTTCCTTGTTTACAAAAATCCCAGCACACCATACATATTTACTCTACCTTGTTTTTTTTTTGTTTTTTTTTTTTGTTTTTTACTTAATATATCTAGAGGACATGTTTATTGTAGCAATCCGTACAGAGCTCCTTGACATTTTTTTCAACCCCGTTAACATATGATTGCAGATATATCCATACCATAATTTACCAATCCTCTATTGATGGACATTTAGACTTTAAGTTTTTTGCAATTAAATGTTGACCCATTTGGAATAGATTTCATATATAGGGGGAGGTATGGATCCAAATTAATTTAATTTTTTTGTCCAGATGGCTACACAGTCGTTTATTGAGTAGTTCACTTCTGGACTCTGTATCCATTCTAATGGTCTATCTATTCATGCTTCCCTAGCTGGTTTGTTTTAATTCCAGAGACATAAAACTCTGTAAGGGATATTGTTTCACATTTTGTTTGGATCACTAGAAATCTTAGATCTAATATTTCAGCCCATGTTAAGCAACAGTAGAGTATCATGTGGTATGCATTTTCTATGGGCTAATTTTTATTTTCCCTTAGCCCCAATTATTTCCACAGTTTGATTTCTTTTTGTAGAACAAGCCAGGATTTAAATATACCTTTGTTTACGACTCTCTGTTTGCAAGTAACAGAAACCAACCTGAACTAGCTCAATCAAAAAGGGAGAATTTATCATAATGATGTAGGTGCTTCTCACAAATGCCAGGAACAGGAATACAGCCACATCTTAGCAAAAACTAGAACCAGTAATTGGAAAGCTTTCAGGAACCCAAAAGGTACTCTCTGTGACCCTCTTCTGTGATTGTTTTCTACGTATCTCTACTAACCTGTTCTCTCTGCTTTAACATCTGTTTGGGAGAATATAGCCACTCCCATTTTGGACTGGGCTGTCAGCTCAGTGGGGAGTCTGAGCCCAAACAAGGAAGGTAGGGCAGCAGCCCTCCAAGGTCAGGCAGCTGATTACACACAGGAGAACTACACAAAGAAAAACCATGTTGAGGGTAATGGGAGCCAGATTTCTCGCTGTTGGAGAAGGGAGTTACAAGTACAGAAATAAGAAGTTTGTGTGATTGGATCGGAATTGGAGGTAGTCATGTAAATTAATGGTTCTTAATACATGTAGATGTAAAATAAATGTAAAAGTGTGTGTATATGTGTATTTTGTGAGATTTTGAAATACATATTTGATCTTTGACCTTATTTTCTGGTTTACAACTCCTAAATTTCTTACACCAAAGTGATGACTTTTGTATGCTAATGAGATGGCTGGTGGCTGGGATCCCCTAGGTAGCCTTAGGATGGGGTTGGTCATTAGAAAGACCAAGGCAGGATCAGAGAATTGGACCTTCAGCCTATCTCCAGCTTCTTGGAGAGGAGAAGGGTTGAAGGTCAAGTTGATCACCAGTGGGCAACAGTTTAATTAGGCTTCATTAATTATGTAATGAAGCCTGCATAAAAACCCAAAAGGACACCAGTAGAGAGCTTCCAGATAGCTGAACAGGAACCATGAGGTTCCTGGGAGGGTGGTGCACCCAGGGAAGGCATGAAAAGTCTGAGCCCCTTCTCCCATCTCATCCTATATATCTTTTTTTCTGTATTGTTTATAATATCCTTTGTAAAAATAAGTGTCTCCCTGAGTTTTGTGAGCTGCCCTAGCAAATTAATCTAACCCAAGAGGAGGTCATGGGAACAACAACTTGAAGCCTGTGAGACATTGTGGAGGCCCAGACTTGGGACTGATGAGTGGTCAGGGGCAGAGTGGGGCAGTGGGGGTATCTTGGGGAGTGAGCCTCAACCTGTGGGATCTGATGCTATCCAGGTTAGAAGGGAGGAGGACACCTAATTGGTGTCTAATGCAGAATCTATTGCTTTCTCGATGTGTGGGAAGACCCCCCCTGACATTTGGTCACTGAAGTCTTCTTCGTTAATTATTGAGGGTGAGAGAAGAGGGTATGTGATTTTTCCACAGATATGCACACACACACACACACACACACACACACACACGTATGTATAAATGTATGTACATATATTTCCCAGCTGTAGCCAATGAGAAGGCCTTGGTGCAGCAACACCACATTAGCCAAGAGAACACCTAACACCTAGCTCTAAACATACTCTGTGAAAAGGAACCAGGGCTCTTTAGAGGAATGGCTGATGTTAAGGTTGGGACATATACTTTCTCTAAAGTATAATATAAGACTGGAACATTTTGTGCTAGAAAGTTTGGAAGTGCTCAAGAAATGGTGGAGACAGTTCAAAAGGACAAAGCAATCAGCTCAAAGAGGCTCCTGTTGGCCAAATCTGGGACAGTTTGAACATCAGGATAAATCATGATAGCAGGAGATTATATCCCATGGTTGTAAGGTCTTTTAGGCTGACTGACGGCCCCATGGATGCCATGTTAACCTCTGTAACCTTCACAGACACTCCAGATGAGTTCCTGGAAAGTCTAAAGTAACTGGAAGACCATGAAAACAGAAAGAAATGGTCAACCCCTGCAGCACCTAGTTAACTTTAAAACATTATTTTTCCTTATTCCCGCCCCGTGGATCTTGGTCAACCTGGTGACTCCACACCCTACGACCCCCTCCCAGCTTGCAAACCTACAATAGCTTACAAAAAAAACACCCTAAAGTAACTTCTGTAACCTTCCACTGCCTACCCCAAAGAGTTACATGTTAATTATATTTATATCCCTCAGAGTCTAGCAAAAGGCTCTGAGCAAGACATCACTTACAAAACTCCTAAATTTATTACAGAAGTAAGTCCATAAAGACAAAACCTGGAGACATCCAATTCAAAGTATTTACAGTAGATGGAGCTATCTATTTCACCATGTTCCTCTCTGTATTTCATGCATCATGTGAAGTTATTAACATTTTGGCAATTAATCAGTTCATACTTTTTGCAGAAGCATATTAAAAACCATGAGACTTGCCCTGTTCTTGTAAGCTATAAATTGCTAGAAAATGTTATTAGTTTCCCTAAAAATTGTAGTGTTACTAAAAAGCAATTGATGTAAGTAAGACAGTATTGGAAGCCAGAGATAAAATGACATCTTCAAGACCTCAATAGATGAAATGTGCAAAGGACATTTACATTTCCTGTAAGGGCAGCCAACTTAGAGAGGTCAACCCTCCCACTTGTTATCTTTAAAAAGGCAAAAAAAAAAAAAATTATTTTACCAATATATTTCTAAAATATGTTTTCTAAATTAATCAAAAATGTAAGTTCCCAAATCTGATAAAGTTCTGTTGAAACTGTTACATTCATAGTAATGACAATTGCTAGTCTTTTGGAAATCAACTTCGTAGGAAAAATAAAAATCATCCTTCCTTTGAACTGCTGTGCTTTAAAAAATAAAAGGAAAAAGTCAAATTCATGAAGTCATTTGTTACAGCATTTTTATCATAAAATATTCAAACAACTGAAGTAATAAATATTAAGTGACTAAGTAAAATTTGATATTAGAATTATTTGACATTCTGTAGCCATTAGAATATGTATGCAGTCTATTTAAAGATACGGAAAAATGCTTATGAGTGAAGGAGGGTTGAAGCAAACTCAGAATATAATCTTGTATCTGTTCTATGTTAGGCATTCTAAAAATTATACATAGATGAAACAAGGATTGAATTAAGTGAGAAAATTAAAATAGTATATATGTGTGTGTGTGTGTGCGTGTATTACTAGTGAAGTTGTTTTTCTTTAAAATATTTTTGTTGCTATAATGTTTTGACAGTTAAAAAAATTAGAATATTTACTTCATCTTTTTCAGTTTCCTTGCTAGGTGGAACCAGGTAGAAATTTGTTGAGATTCAGAATTTTGCATCTAATCATCTAATCAGATATAATAGAATTGTTGTCGGTCTTGGATTGCTCTGCTGTTTTTCCATCAATAACACATATTTCTGTCCTCAATCTGGTATAAATTAAACACTAGAATACAAGATCTTTAAAAAGAGGGACACAATATCTTATACATACATTTTCCCCAGACCCAGCACAGTGTTTGGCACATAGTAGGCACTGAATACCTCTTCTCCATTATCTATATTAAGTGACCAGGTGGCTAAACAAATTCCTAAAGAAGCTCTCACCCTGTGACTGTGAAGTTCATGGATTTCATCCTTATTTATCAGACATCAAATAAGCTGTTGAGAGTCTCCCATGTGCATGGAGTGTTCAGTGAGTGCCTTTTCAATGAATGACCACTTGATGTAGTCATAGAAATTGGTTCTAATATAGGACAGAAGAAATGAAATATCTCTCAGTCTAACTTGTATGTAGTAAAGAATAAGCTTCTGAGATTCCAGGGCAACAAAAGGGTCAGGGTTCTATAATCCCTTTCCCAGTATTTCTGACTGCAGGATAGATGTGAGAAAATGGCAAAGACCAGTGGAATATGTATACAGTCATTTCAACAGCAAGATTCATGAGTAGGACACATCATTTTCATTCAACATCCTATTGGTCAGAACCTAGTCACATGGCCACACCAAGCTGCAAGGAACACTGGGAAATAGTCTTTCCAAGAGACTATGGCTGAGCTATACAGCTAGAATAGTTCATAAGGTACAACTAGTAATCTGCCATCATAGGATCTTTTAAAATTTTTTATTATGGAAAATTTCAAGTTTACAAAAAAAGGTATAATGAACTTCAATGTATTCATCATAAATCTTCTACATTACCAACATTTGCCAATCCTGTTTCCTCCCTCCCACATCCTCACTTACCCACCCACTATATTTTTTTTCTGGGTTTTTTGGTTGTTGTGAAATATATATAACATAAAATTTGGATTATTTTTAGCATGCCAGTTTACTCATGAATACTTCAAAGTGCATCTCTGATAATGCCCTTTTTGCTTTATCATCTGCCATTTTCCACATAAAATTAATAATTCCTTAATATCATCTAATTTTCAGTCTAAATTAAAATTTACCCATATGTTTAAATAAATGTCTTTTTATACTTATTCATTCAAATCAGGGGCCAAAGTCCATAAATTGCATTTGGTTATGTCTTTTTTTTTTTTTTTTTTTTTTTTTTTTATAAAGATGGGGTTTCACCATGATGGCCAGGCTGGTCTTGAACTCCTGATCACTCAGGTGATCCACCCACCTTGGCCTCCCAAAGTGCTAGGATTACAGGCGTGAGCCACAGCACCCAGCCTGGTTATGTCTTTAAACATTTGTAATTTTTAATTTTTTTAGAAATGGGGTCTTCACTATTTTGCCCAGGCTGGTCTTGAACTTCTTATCTCAGTCTCCTAAGTAGCTGGGATCACAAGTACCTGCCACCACATTTGGCTGGTTATCATGTCTTAGAAGTCTCTTTTGTAACATCTCCTCCCATCCACTTTAAATAATGTCATCAGTTTATTAGAGCAGACCATATTTTGGGAACAATAGTCCACAACAAATTTTAAACTTTGATTGAATTAGGTCTTCAGGAAACATTCTTTAGATTTCTAGAATGATATGGTCAAAAGGTAGGAACATCTCAGTGGCTCTCACTCATCACACTGACAAGTGAAAGAGTTTATCAAGTATAATGCCACTAGTTGGTATTTTCATATTGCATTCTTCACAGCTTGGTGAACACCAGCTGGCTGGTGTCTGAAATTGTATGCTAATTTAACATATGAGTTGTAAATCATACCTCAATTTATAATTTGTCAATTTAAAATGTGTAAAGTGACTTACATTTCCTTATTGCCATTGTAGTCCTTGTGTTTATTTACGATTTACACTTAGGTGACTTGACTGTTCATATTCTCTCACTAGGGAAAACTGGACCCCTCTAACCCCTTAGATAATTTCTGTAGTAACTTCCTATTATGGTCATGACTCTCTCTCCCTTTTGAAATTAAACTTAAAAAAAAAAAAGACTTCATTTTTTAGAACAGTTTCAGTTTACAAAAAATTGAGCACAAAGTGCAGCATTCCAATATGCCTCCTCACCCTACTCACAGTTCACCTGTTACTAACATCTTGCATTAGTGTGGAGCATTTGTTACAACTGATGAATCAATACTGATATGTTATTAACTAAAGTTCATAATTTTTATTAGGATTCAATCTTGGCATTGCATGGTTCTAGGGGTTGTGCATAATGACATGTATTCGCCATGACAGTTTTATACAGAAAATAGTTTTACTGCCCTAAAAATTCTCTATGCTCTGCCTATTCATCCTTCCCTGGTGAACCTTGGCAACCATTGATTTTTTTAGTCTATAGTATTGCCTTTTCCTTTTAAAAAAATTTTTTTTTAAAGAGACAGGGTGTTTTTCTGTTACCCAGGCTGAAGTGCAGTGGCACTGTCACAGTTCACTGCAGCCTCAAACTGCTGGGCTCAAGTGATCCTCCCACCTCAGCCTCCCAAAGCACTGGGATTATAGGTGACAGCCACTGTGCCTGGCCATAGTTTTGCCTTTTCCAGATCATATAGTTGGAATCAGACAATATGTAGCCTTTTCAGACTGGCTTTTTAAATTTAGCAATATGCATTTAAGGTTCCTTCATGTATTTTCGTGGCTTGATAGCTAATTTATTTCTATTGCTGAATAATATATTATTGCATGACTGTATCATAGTTTGCTTATCTTTTCATCTATCAAAGGACATCTTGCTTGCTTACAAATTTGGCAGTTAAATAAAGCTGCTAAAAACATTCAAGTACAAATTTTTGTGTGGACATCAGTTTTCAATTCATTTGGAAAAATGCCAGGAGCGTGATTGTAAGATCACATGGTGAGTATGTTTAGTTTTATAAGAAATTACCAAACGGGCTTCCCAGTGGTTGTACTATTTTGCATTCCTACCAGCAATAAATAAGAGTTTCTGTTGTTCCACGTCCCCAGTAAGATTTGGCCTTGTCAGTGTTTTGGATTTTAGCCATTCTACTAGGTGTGTAGTGGTATGTCATTGTTTTGAATTTAGGAGTCACTGTGAATATGTAATGGCAGCATCTTTTCATATGCTTATTGTTCATTTGCAGATCTTTGTGCCTCTTCAGGTCTTTTTCTTACTTTTTATTGGGTAGTTGTTTTCCTATTCAGTTTCAAAAAGTTCTTTGTATATTTTGGATACAAGTCCTTTATCAGATTTTTCTCAAATACTTTCTCCTAGTTTGTGGTTATGTTTTCATCGATCTCTGAACAGTGTCTTTCACAGTTAAACTTTTTATTTTGAGATAATTGTGGCTTTACATGTAGTTGTAAGTAATAAAACAGAAATGCCCTGTGTACCCTTTACTCACTTTCCCCCAAAGGTAACATCTTACAGAACTATAGTGCAGTATCACAACCAGGATATTGACACTGATGCAATAAAGATGGAGAACACTTCCATCATCACAATGCCAAGGGTTGTATTTCTTCCATTGATATAATTAAATGCTATAAATTCCCCCTCCCCCAAAATTAAATAGTTAAAAGGATATGGGACTGCTTGCAAAATGGCAGGAAGAGGTGGAGCACCAGACTTGAGATGCTAAAGCTTCAAGAACAATACCCAAATCTGATGAGAAAATGCCTGCAGGGACCAGCCCTGCCATCCCTCTGGACCTCAAGAAAGAAAGGTGAGCTTTCTAGGACTCGTGTTTATAGAACTTTTGCTACAAAACTGGAGAATCCAAAATAAAGCAGACAGCCACCTGAGTGTGGATACCAGATGGTTTATATCTGTGAGTTAACCCATGAGACAAAAGCAGCCGAGGAACGCAGTCTGATTACAAAGGATGCGGGATTTGGAAGAAGAATCTTCAGCACAAAAACCTCTCAGCATCAGCCTGTTGTAAACCAAAAACGTTTTTGATTGACAAAAATTCTTTAGGAATTAGAAGTCTGGTAGACTTTTATGTAAGTCCCATTGGCCAATACTAGAGAACAGGGCCACCCTGCCTGGGCTGCGAGGCCGGTGGGGAAAGAAGTTCTGTAGTTCTGGCCTCTGAATGGCCTTCCTCCTAGGCCAGGACATTCTTCACATTTAACCGGAAACACTGGTTCAAGCCATGAGGGTAAGTGGTTGCCCCACACGCCTTATGATAACTCTCCACCATTAACACCAACACAGACCTTAAATTTGATAAGAAACATTTACAATCTATTCTCCAGGAAACATTTACAATCATTCTTCAGGAAGCCTGCTAACTTGAAGGCTTCATCTCCATGATAAAACTTTGGTCTCTATTGATAACTCTTTCAACCAATTTCCAATTGGAAAAACTTTAAATCTACCTACAACCTGGAAGCCTGTCACCTTCGAGTTGTTCCACCTTTCTCAATCAGTGTGTTTCTTAAATGTATGTGTTTATTGTTTCAAGATGGAGTCTGGCTCTGTCAGGCTGGAGTGCAGTGGCTAGATCTTGGCTCACTGCAAACTCCACCTCCTGGGTTCAAGCGATTCTCCTGCCTCAGCCTCACGAGTAGCTGGGATTACAGGTGCACACCTCCATGCCCGGCTATCTTAAATGTATTTGATTGAGGTCTCACGTCTCCCTAAAAACCAAGTTGCACCCTGACCACCTTGGGCGCATGTTCTCAGGACCTCCTAAGGTCTATGTCATGGGCCATGGTCACTTATATTTGCCTCAGAAGAAATCTCTTTAAATATTTTACAGAGTTTGACAGTTTTCATTAATACCTTCCTCTGAGGTGATAGTCAAGATGTCTGTTGAGTTATAGCGGAAAGTCAGATTTTAGGGACAGAGAGATCAGGGTTAAAATTTAGACCTTGTCCCTTATTGCCTGTAGGTAGCCTTGGACAAGACACATTCATCAGCTCCCATTTCTTCATCTGTAAAATGGGGGTGGTAATAGTCTACCTTCAGGGTTATTGCAAAGATTGAAGAAAAAAAATGAACATCACGAATCTGATGAACTTTCTGGTTTATAACAGTTACTTAATAAATGGTCATTCTTATTAGGCATCCTATTAGGAAAATAATGAGGTCCATTCCCCAAGATGAATGAGAGGCCGGAGCTATATGTGCCTCTCCACTGTTCATTCTCTCCTTCCATTTTATTAACAGAGAGCCCTTTTCTTTCTTAGAAGGCAGAACTTAAAAACTGCATTTCCCCACCTCCCTCGCAGCCCAAGGGGTGGCCCTGTTCTCTAGCATTGGCCAATGGGACTTAGATGAAAGTCTACTAACAAATGTCACCACGACTGCTAGATGCCTGCTCCCAACCAACAGCCCTTCTCACTTGTAACTCATTTAGCAGAGGCTGGAGCTGAAGGAGTGCCCAGGCTGGGAGTGGAGGAAGGACGTGCTCAGGAGAAGGTGAAGATGGGAGAGAAGCAAGATCTATGTGTTTGGGCAAAGGACACATTTCCTTACTCCATAGCAGTTGAGGTTAGTGGCTTAGCTCTGCAAGGAGATGAGCCCATGTTTTGTGTGGGTTCTTCTGGGAACTCTGAGAAGGCAGGGGCCATCCATCGCTGCCTCTCTTCCATTCTACAGCATGGAATATGGATGTGTGGTCTGGATGTATAGACACCATTTTGGACCATAAAGACAAGGACGATTGTCTAAGGATAACACAGCCAGAGAACTGGGAATGGTGAGGACAGGGGAGCTGCTGTGCCAAGTAGGACTGCCTCTCTCTTAAGAGAAAAATAAAACTTATTAGTGTTTAAAGCACTGCTGTTTTGGGCTGTCTGTCACATGTCACTGAAATTAATCTGAAACGTTGCAGCAATTAATGGGGAAAAAACTAGCACCCCATCTTCACACTTTGAGCTTTTTATGGCATAACCACCCTGTCCAAAGTAATATACCACCAAGTGAAACATGATTACGCTCAGCTGTTTACAGGCTTAGGAAATCTCAGTATAGGATTTATCTTCCTGTCATGTAGCCCACCATCCCCTTTTTAATGTGGCCAGGTAGTTTGATGTGTTTTCTCCCCACATTTTCTCCATTCGAGCGGGAAGAAGGCTCTGTACATCCAGGAAGGTTAGTGAAGGGCCTCCTGTTATCTGTATTCAAAAGATTTAAAATGGAAATACAGCAGGGAGAATGGGAGACCCACCTCAGGGTGGCGTGTGAGAGTGGCAGTGGTAGGGGAGAGATCTGTGTGGAGGCTCCATGGACGCCATGGGAATGGCCTCATGGTACACTGGGGACCTGAAATTCCAAAACCTGTCAGAGATGCCCAAGTCCAGTCAACCACGGCACAGCAGCAGAGCAACTATGGGGCTGTGGGGGCTGGACCCTACCAGTGAGGATAGAGGCGCAGTCACCTCAGGGCACTTCACTGCCACACCCCAAGTACCCTTGGGCAGGGTGAGGGAGAGGAGATGAGCAACAGGCATCTCAAACTTTACATGCTCAGATTCAGGAACTCTGGGTCTTTCTCACAATCTGCTTCTCCACCGTTTCCCCATCAGCCAGTGGCATCTCTATTCTTCCAGATGTTCCTGCCAAAACCTTGGAACATTTCTCAGTCCTTTTTCTCTTACGCTCTATACCCAATCCATTTGCAAATCCAGAGGATCGACTTTCAAAACACATCCAGAATGAAATCACTCCGCCCCACTTCTCCTGCACCCACCATGCCATTGTCATCTCTCCCGGACTGTTGAAATGGACTTCCGCTGGCCTCTGTGTTCTGCCCTTGTTCCCTGGAGTATATTTTCATTATGGCAGCCAGGGTTAGCCTGCTAAAATGTAGGCTGACATGTGCTCAAAACTCTCCAGTGGATCCCAGCTCACCCCAGGCAAAGGCCAAAGCCCTTACCACATCCTACAAGGCCCTACCTGGCCTCTCTTGTCTCACTCACCGTGCATTCCCAAACCAGGCTCTTTGCTGTTCCTTAAAAACACCAGCCATGATCCTGCCTCAGTGCCTTTGCACCGGCTGCTCCCTTTGCTTAGAAAACTTTTTCACCAGGCATTTGAAGGATATGTCCCTGTGGCTCTTTTAGGTCTGTAGTCAAATGTCTCTTGCTCAAAGAGGTCATTCCTGGTTGCTCTATGAGCCTGGTGGCACCTCCCTGTCCACCCCCAATCTACCTTCTTTCCCTTTTACTTACAGCACTGACGAATATGTGCCTGACATACCTTGCATCTTACCATTTTGTTTCTGTCTGCCTCTTCTCACTAGAGGGTCAGCTCTGGGAAGATAAGAACCTTGTTTTGGATTCCTATTATATTCGCAGCAGCAACCAGCACAGTGCTGATGCCAAGCAGGTGTGTAATAAATATTTGTGGCACCACGTTTTATTTGCCCTCCCTCTGTCCCCATCTCATTCCTGCTGCCCTTGGTTGCATCCCCTCTGCCCTCAAATGATGCAGTCATCACATCAGCTTGGTCTCAGGCTCTGTCTTCTGAGGAGCCCTGGCTACTACAGTAACTTACTGGAGGTCACAGAGCTAGTAAAAGATCCAGGATTCAGACCTGGGCAGTCTCACTCCAGAACGGCACAACTGCTACTACTATTATTGCTACTTCTTGGAGCATTGCAAAGGCTCAAGGCAAGTTAATGCAGTTTAAAAAGGGCACATTCAGGCCGGGCGCGGTGGCTCAAGCCTGTAATCCCAGCATTTTGGGAGGCCGAGGCGGGTGGATCACGAGGTCAAGAGATCAAGACTATCCTGGTCAACATGGTGAAACCCCGTCTCTACTAAAAATACAAAAAATTAGCTGGGCATGGTGGCGCGTGCCTGTAATCCCAGCTACTCAGGAGGCTGAGGCAGGAGAATTGCCTGAACCCGGGAGGCAGAGGTTGCGGTGAGCTGAGATCACGCCATTGCACTCCAGCCTGGGTAACAAGAGCAAAACTCTGTCTCAAAAAAAAAAAAAAAAAAAAAAAAAAGGCACATTCTCTACCATCTGTACCACTTTAAAGCCAGTTGACTTTGCTTTGGCCTTGGCAAAAGTATTATTTGTTAGGACTGTTTGTTGAAAAGATAGTGCAATTTCTGGTTGTCAAAACCACAAACACACATGGAAATGAATATTATCAATGAATGGTCAGTTCAAGAAATTTATATTCAAAAATTTTCTTTAGGAATACAGATAATTTTACAAGATCACTCATCATAGCACCAAGCCTAATATTCCTTAATAGAAAACAGTCAAATAACAAATACTCCAGTTAATTTCCCACAGGTATAAATTATGCAAATAGCCATTTATATTTTCATTTACAATAATCAATAAATAAGACAGGACATTAATATATTTTTTACAAAGATCTCTTTTTTTTTTACAAAGCTACAGCTATGTATATACTAGACAAAAATAATCCTTGTACTACAAAATAACATTTCATTTTCCTCAATAGCTTTTTTAGAGCTTTCAGTAAAAACTTTCAAACTTAGTCAATTAAGCCCTGCCATGACAATAAGGAAACATTAAATCTGCTAAATAGACCAGACTCCCCGAAAATAAAACACCCATCACCACCCAGTACAATATGGTCTGAACAATCTCCTGTCTCCAAGTTTTAGTAGTTTGTCCTGAGGATGTACAGTAGGGAACAACAATTTTTCCGTGTTCACAGTTTGTCTTTGGCGGATAGTTTCAGCACCACCATGAGTGGCACAGGCAGCATCTTCTGGTGAAATTTCAAGGGCAGAGGGCAGGTGTCCCCTGCACCACACTCCCCTCCCCGCTGGCTACCTGTCCTACCCCAGGGACATTCTACACAAGCATGCCAGCTGTTGGCTTAAGGGATCCTTGCTGGAATGCAAACGGCTCAGATTCTGAGTAGAATTTCAGGAGCCTTTCTGAGTCGTTATTAGGGAAGGGGAAAGATGAGGGAGTGGGAAGATCTAGTCCTTCACACCTATTTCTACAGCTGAACTGTTGAATTTAAAAGAAATTCCCTTAAGAAACTCCCTCAGATGCTGACGTAATTTAAGGAGACCAATTTAGTTCTAACAGCCCTAGGAAACAGATTTCCCAGGTTCTACTTCAAACATCCATCCCAAACCTGTAAGATTCAAACTATTCCCAAAGGCACCTTTCTCAGATACTAAAGCCAAGAAGCATGGCCCTAAGCTTTGGGGCCATAACACAGAGTTACACTTGCTTTAAGCAACAGGCCGCTTACTGAGATAAATAAAAACTACCTTCGGGACCTTTGGATTTTTAAACCTAGGAAGGACTTTTAAAAGAGGTCTTCCCACTTCCAACCCAGAGAGGTAAATTCAAGGCATCTGCAGGTGAGCCAGAGCTAGGACGTGGGTTCTCCATACCCAGACTAGTGTTGGCCTGTTTTGGACAATGTCAGCTCTCCAGATAACAGGCACTCCCAGAGTTTCCTTTGAAAACTTGTCTAAATCCTTGCATGACATTCAGAAATACTGGCATTCTGGGACTGTCCTTTTTCACAGCATGGACTTGCAGAGAATATGCACCTATTCATTTTTGCTGGGCCTAAAGGAAGTAGTGGTAGCTGTTGGAAAGAGAATACAAATATCAAATATTTTCCTATTTTGTTTTTTGTAACAATGCAAAAATCATTACTTTTAAGCTTAAAATACAGGAAAAATGATAATCCCTGTCTCGGAAACCAATTATGAATTCATCCAAGTAATTTGTGGTCTCTACCTCTCCATTTTAATTATGCTGTCTTCAGGCCTTCTCTACTTTTCTTTTTGAAGGAGAAAGCCCAGTTTCCTGCTCTGAGAAGAACGTGTTACAGGTGCAGAGATGAGCAGCTGGGAGCAGGACGTACAGTTAATTGAAGGCCCTGAAGAACTGTCTTGGATGTGGGACACAGATTTTACTGCAAAAGACCCTTTCAAGGTGGCCATTTTGGTTGCAAATTTGCAACTGCAGTGAGGTTGAAAGTGCAAATCCATGTTAGAAACAAGAGTCCTGTGTTCCCGGTTCTGCTACTTATTCGCTCGTGCTATGACCCTGTTATTTTTCTGTCCTGTGCTTTAGCTTCCTTTCTGAAATAAACACCTCCCATGATTGTTCTAAGGGTCAAGTGAGTTAATGAGTAAACAATGGCTTAAACTTCCTCTTGCAAAAAGGCCTGAGTTAGATTTGAGACAGGGGAGCTTGGAAAAAGGTAGTGGATTGGAGGTTGGAAGAAGCGATGGTAAACCGAGGGTTAGGGAAAGAGGTATAGTCAACGCTTGCTTCGAGAGGAAGGATATAGAGAAAAAGGGGGCTGCTGGGCTTCCTACAACTTCATAAACTTTCAAGAAAGCTATTTTTCATTCAACAAATACATGGTGAATGCCTATAATGCACAGAAGCTCAGAAGTTAGTTCGCCAAGATCACCCCGAGATCTAGTGACACAGCTGGAGCTCTAATCTAATGTGGCTGACTCCCAAACCTGACTTCTTTCTCTATTCCACAATACCACCCAGAGAAGAAGGCAGTGATTAAAATGAAAACAAAAAAAAGAGTTCCTTTAAAGAGAACCCTGCTAGATGAAGTTAGTCTTGACATCTGAGTGTCAGGGATTTAAACAAGTTAGGAATGGGATTGAGGCAGGGATTGTTGAGGCATGTGTGTATTTAAAAACAAGTTGGTCAAACAGCACAAAATGCTGGTTGTCTTTTTTTCCATAGACAAGAATGCTTTTTGGCATGCTGCTCCAGCCCTGGCTGGGAGGAACTGCTTGCTTGATGTGTTCTCATCCAGGTTCTCAGAACAGGTTTTAAACACAAAGAA